CACACAGCTCTGCTTTGATCTGCTCTAAATAACTGCAATTCCATATACGATTATTTTAGGAAGTGTCCCATTGCTACAAACAGTTTGAAAACCAGTATTTTAGTTTGAAGATTCTGGAGATGAAAGGAAATTGCATGCCCATGACATGCTGGGTGTGGTCAGAGGCTCCTCCCTTTCTGTCTAGTATTCTAATTATGAATACTGTCATAGAATACTTTCTCATGGGAATCCACTTTTCAAAAATAAAGAAATGAATACAGATGTAGGGGTCTATGAAACAAGGCCAATGGGTCTCTAGCCATTCACTCTCCAAGGCTCCTGATATTTATTAAATTAACAAGGGAGAGGTTGAAAGCTCATTCTTGGATCTAGATCTGTGGCTTGTCCATTAGTGGAACTTAGTTCTTCCCTTCATCTTTTCTATTTTATCAAATGCCCCCCAATCCTGTCATGGACATGCTCAGCTTCTACCAAGAAATTCTCCCAAAAGGATGGAGCCCACCCTGCATGTTAGGGGTTCTGTCTTGCATTTGGGGTGCAGACTTTTGGCACACAAAGTCATGCTGAATGTCAAGTGGAGAATGAAGAGATTCCGAGATTTTTGAACATTAAGCTTGTGTTGCCCTTGAAAACAATACGTGATCTGTCAGATTTTGATTCTGTGCCAGTTTTCATATGGATTCTATAAATGACATCTCCTGGATCATGTTATCTGTTTGCACTGACTTTAAGTGTATGTAAAGGTTATTTGACTAGATGTGTCTTTGGGGATTTTGTTTCTGTTTTCTTTTCAGAAGGGAATAAATGAATTGTCATCTCAATATTTGTTTGGTAAAAGAAGTAAATTGCTATGAAACTGTATATATATGCATGTTTTTTTTTTCCCTTCCTGATATCTCTGCCTCTTCCTCTCTCTATTATTAAAGGAAGAAATACCCCTGGAAAGCCAATGAGAGAGGTTAGTGAGATTCAGGCTCACAGCCATGGCTTCTGTCTGTCTCATCCTGCTTTCTGTGTTTGGCATTTGTGTAAAAATTGTGTGCGTGCACGCGCATGTATGTGTATTACACATTGCGTCACCATTTAAAGATGGTAGTCACCTCTCCACTTCTAACTCATGAGGAACATCCCTCAGATGTTCATCTTGTCATTACCATGACGACAGGACCCAGGGGTTGGGGGGAGCAGGAATCCCTTTAAAATGGCAGTCCTTTGGCGCCCCCTGTTGGAGCCCCACAGTCCATCATCTGTTGCCATTTGCAACACAAACAAAATCTTCCAATTAAATTTAGCCTTCGCCATAACTGGTGAGTCATACAGCTTTCTTCCACTTCCAGGACCTTAGCATTTTCTGCCAGCGCCTTTGCTTTCTATTCTTCTAGGATGACTTCATGTTTCTTTTGTTCCATTTTTCCCCGGTTCCTATACTCTTTCCCATTTTAGCTAACATTTTTTGAGCACTGACTGTGTGCCAAAGCATTGCTGTCAGCAGTTGCCATCTTTCTTTTTCATTATGTAATCTTCATGACAAACCTATGAGGTAGGTGTTCTCATTAACCCTATTTTGCAGATAAGGAAACTGAGTCAATGAGAGGGGAAGCAGTGTGTCCAAGGTGACAGCCAGGATTTGGATCCAGGTAGTCTGGTTCCGGACTCTTTTAACTCTTACACTGTACTGCCACATGATAAAATGCGATTTCAAAAACATATGTCATCTCAACTTGCCTTTTAGAAGACATTCCTTTTTATTGGGCATTTGAAGGTACAGAGAACAACCAATTAGATTAAAAAATTCCAAGTTGGAGTCCTGAGGGGGGTTTTAAATGCCTGTGTATGGATTGAAAAAGATAGGGTGCATCAGCACTGAATGTGGTTTGAGGTTTTATCCTGAAAGGTTAAGGTTCCTCCTATTCTGCCAGGAATATTGTCCTGTCTCTGCCAGGAACATCGAATTAACTAAGTGACTATTAGATGACATATTTTTGAGTGACAGCCCTGGTGACACAAAATTGTCCTTACCGTGAGCTTATTGTTAAGGAAGATAGAAGGAAAACTATCCCATCAGATGGCAATAGTGTGTACTGTCCCAGTATGTAATAATGTTCCAGGAGACAGGTTGGATAAGTAGAGAGTCCTTATATGAGATAATTCTGGATCCTTAACAACAGGATGGATGAGAGTGGCCATGGATTCATTTAAACGTAAGGAATATACAAAAAATTCTACCAACACCGTGTCATACGAGGCTAATGAATTTAGTGATCCTTCCATATGTCTATGCCAGCGCTTACTTGTAAGGCTTTGGGTGGTGGGGTCCTGGGAAGGAGTGGTAGGCTGGGAGGAGAAGGAAACCGGAATCTCTGAATGTTCCTGACAGTTTGCCTGGCTCATGTACTTTGTACTTGACACTTCTTGGGTTCATTCTTATGGTAAGTGCCCCTTCAAATTTATTTTTTAACTTTTTTGTGAAAACTTACACCATAATTTTGACCACCCTAAAATGGTCTCACTCGTGAATGAATGTTAGAAAAAGTCTGCACCTATCACTGAAGTCCTATAGAGTTCGGAGACTTACTGCCCGAGATGTATTACAGTCAGGTAGTACAAGGTCATGTACACGGTTCCAGAAGCCAGGTAATCTAAATAATAATGACTTATTTAATGCTATGAAAATACCCCAAATATACAGTACACCAGATTTTTTTCTCAGACATTAAATGATAGAGAAGGGTAAAGATAAGCACATTTCACTACAGTATTCTGGCTTTGCCAGTTCAATGCTAACCATTTGTTTGGGAATTGTATTTTTAAAAAATAGAGCGCCAGATTGCTGTGGAGGTCTTGAATCTTTGCCAGAAAGTCTCAATTCCAATCACTGCAGAAAACAACTCCCTCAGGCAGTGGTGGCGTGTGAGACTAAATGTGTTGCAGTTAGCACCAACTTGGAAAAACATACAACCGTCCTAATGTCCGATGCGTCATCCCTTTGTGTTCAATAATCCTTGCTTAAGAATGGATTAAGTTAAGACTTTCTGTAGCCGTATTTTGGTGTCAGCTTGTGCTGGAAGCTGATGCAAAGGCCTGAATCCCGGCTGCTTCCACTGATTTTTTTGCCCTTACAGTATGAGATTGTAATTTGGACTTTAGGAAAATCTGTCAGGTAAAAATAATGACCTCACTAATGTTGTGCCTTACACAAATGGATAATAGAACCAGGATACAAATTGTTTATATCCATGTTTTACAGTACAATTTTACCCTTCCAATAGATTGAAATCTGATTCTTTGGGGCAGTGTTTTGTCAGATGTACAACTTTTTTTCAGAATCTAATGAAAGCCTCCATGAGAACAAATTAAAATTATTATTTTGGTGAAACAAATATCCATAAATGAAGTAACAAAAGGCATAACATAAATAAGGTGAGGTGACGCTAAAGATTCTTCATTTTTATAGCATAAGGATGACTACGGGCCATTTGTGAAAATTTAACCGTTTAAACAGTCCAGCATATTATGGGAGAGAGTGTGGTATATTAAGAATAATGAACCTCTGTTTTCCCTGGCAGATTTTTAAATGGCAGATACCCCTAGAACTTATACTTCTTGAGAGACTCAAGAATTTTCCTTCCAGGTAGTAACTGAACCATTTCAAGGAATAGAAGCACCGCGTGGCTATATAACGTATAAATGCATTTGCTTTTTAATTATCTGTTGAGATTGAGTTCACGTGCCCTCACACACAGTCTAAAAAGGTACTTTTTGATGATCAATAAACTGACGGGGAAAATGAGTTTTTCTCTTTCTTGTTTATATTTTGTAATACACTTTCTAGCTCCCAGGTAAACTACAATGTATTCGGGTGTGGGTCCTAAGAAAAAGTTTGAATTGCATTCCAGTATCAGATTGTAAGGGTCTTGGTGTTTGTTTTTACTGGTTTGGTTAATGGCTGGATTACTGGTAATTAAAAATTTGTAGTTAGTCCATCTATTTTCAATTATGCACGAATAATTTTGCAGATTTCCCAGGGTTGCTGAGAAGTAAAAAAGATACAGGAGAAGCCCTCCAACCTGGTAGCGTCAGTTATATGTTTGTGTTCTGAGCTCTAAGGACCAGCAAAGATCCCACTGTGTTTTCTTGTGATTTTTATGGCACAGCAAAGCCAATGTTGATTTTCGTTCTTCAGTGAGTGCTGTCAAACCGTTTGCCCCCTTTATGAATAGTACATACGTTTTAAAAGTTTTCATATTGGTAGCCTCAACCGAAATCCAAAGTTATTTTTTTAAACATAATTACTTCTTGATGAAGCCACACTGATCAATCTCAAAGAGATTCACAAACTTGGTCACCTTAATATAAATGCCTGAATGGCATTAAACTTTTAAATAAGTCTCAAATCGATCTGGCGCCATCACTGTTTAAGTGCCTCTTCAGGTCTTCTCATATTTTTTTAAAGGGACCTGTCTCTTGAAATAAATATTAGAACAGAGTACCTGCCTTAATCTATCTTTAATTTTTATTGGGATTTTAACAATTATTATGGGAATCTGTAAAGTTGATACATAGTAAGGTAGTAATAGCCTAGTAAAGCATTTCAGTTCCAAAGACAGTACTTGAATAGTACAAAGATTTACCAATGGCCAAGAAGTAAAATTAGCTGTATAAAAATATGAGACATATCTGAAAGGGTAAGCATAAACTGTGTCTCAGATTATCTTATTCTAGATCTGAATTTTGCTACAAAATACCCAAGGACATTGGGTCTCTCTCTGTTCTTATGCTGGAGGATTGATGCTAGTAGTTCTGATACATTATTATTAAAAGGCTATCCTGATAGTTAGCCTTCATTTAGGAGGAGATCAAAGATAGAGTCACAGGATACCCAAGTCCATGCAATTAATGTGGGTCATATTATAATTAGGTTCTAGAGTAATTTGGAATGAAAAGTGGATTTTTTTTCCAGAGAATCCAGGTCTTACTAGACATATTGCATGTCCTAACAGAAAAATATGAAACACTTCACGAATTTGCATGTCATCCTTGCACAGGGGCCATGCTCATCTTTTCTATATCGTTACAGTTTTTAGTACATGTGCTACCAAACTGAGCACTTTCTTTTTTTTTTTTTTTTTTTTTTTGAGACAGAATCTCACTTTATTGCCCTCGGTAGAGTGCTGTGACATCACAGCTCACAGCAACCTTCAACTCCTGGGCTTAGGCAATTCTCTTGCCTCAGCCTCCCAAGTAGCTGGAACTACAGGCACCTGCCACAACACCCGGCTATTTTTTGCTGTTGTTGCATCTGTCATTGTTGTTCAGCTGGCCCAGGCCATGTTCGAACCTGCCAGCCTCGTTGTATGTGGTTAGCACCATAACCACTGTGCTACGGGCACCGAGCCACACCGAGCTATTTTTAGAGATGGGTCTTGCTCTTGCTCAGGCAATCCACATGCCTCAGCCTCCCAGAGTGCTAGGTTTACAGGGTCAGCCACCAGGGCGGCCATGAAAAGTGATTTTTATTCTGAAGTTTCCTAATTCAAATGTTAAAAGTGTACAAAAAGGTCAACCCAAGTAAAAGTAGAAAATAATCACCTCTATCATAGCCTCAGAAGTAAGTCAACAGCTTGAAACAGCCTTAGAAAGGAAAATTTTATGTGGTGGTGATGGTGATGATTGGTAGTAGAGATGGTAGTGATGATGGTGGTGGTTTCATAGTAAACAATGTTAATATAAGATAGTAATTATAGGCTCGGCACCTGTGGCTCAAGTGGCTAAGGTGCCAGCCACGTACGCCCAAGGTGGCAGGTTCAAATCCAGCCCAGGCCCGCCAAACAACAATGACGGCTGCAACCAAAAAATAGCCGGGCGTTGTGGTGAGCGCCTGTGGTCCCAGCTACTTGGGAGGCTGAGGGAGGAGACTTTCTTGAGCCCAGGAGTTGGAGGTTGCTGTGAGCTATGATGCCACAGTGCTCTACCCAGGGGGACAGCTTGAGGCTCCTGTCTCAAAAAAAAAAAGTAATTATATAGGGCGGTGCCTGTGGCTCAAAGGTGTAGGGTGGCGCTGGCCCTATATACCAGAGGTGGTGGGTTCAAACCTGACCCCAGCCAAAAACTGCAAAAAAAAAAAAAGAAGAAAAATATATATATACAGTAATCATACATAGCAAGGTGGCAAGGATGTATCCCATTGTGTAATATTCCTGTTATGATAAAAATCTTGGGCTTATCCATGGAATCATGTTAATACATGATGTTTACATTGGGACGATGTATTGTTTGACAATTTTCTGTTTAAAAGACACTAGTAGCCTGATCCAACATTAAGCTGATACTAACAACGTGTGATAGCTTCATTAACAAGGCTTTGCTTCATCCTGGAAACTGGTGAAATCAAACCCTGTTGTGTACACCCCCAATGCAGCTTCTGTGTTGTCTTCACCCAGAAATGGGGCATGGCCTCCCAAATGGCAAAGAGTTAATGCAGGTGATGATACTGGCACCCTTTGTAAAGTCTGTCTTTCTGTTTGCTTTCCAGGACACAATGTAGGAAGCCTTTTCCACATGGCAGATGATTTGGGCAGAGCGATGGAGTCCTTAGTTTCAGTCATGACAGATGAAGAAGGAGCAGACTAAATGTTTTACAATTCCTGATTCCCGCATGGTTTTTATAATATTCATACAACAAAGAGGATTAGACAGTAAGAGTTTACAAGAAATAAAATCTATATTTTTGTGAAGGGTAGTGGTACTATACTGTAGATTTCAGTAGTTTCTAAGTCTGTTATTGTTTTGTTAACAATGGCAGGTTTTACACGTCTATGCAATTGTACAAAAAAAAGTTATAAGAAAACTACATGTAAAATCTTGATAGCTAAATAACTTGCCATTTCTTTATATGGAACGCATTTTGGGTTGTTTAAAAATTTATAACAGTTATAAAGAAAGATTGTAAACTAAAGTGTGCTTTATAAAAAAAAAAAGTTGTTTATAAAAACCCCTAAAAACAAACACAGACACACACACACAGACACAAACACACACAGAGTTTGAGGCAGCGCATTGTTTTGCATCCTTTTAGCGTGATATCCATATGAAATTCATAGCTCTTTGTTCTTTTATTGCATATTGAAGATAGGACTTTCTCTAACACACACCACCAAATGGCTACTTTGCATTGCTCTTTGGGAATTATTGACTGAGTGGGGCTGGCTATAGGTTTTTATTTTAGACATCTATATGTCTATTGGTATATAAATACTATAGGTATATAGATAACTAGATACGAATTTCAATAGACCTTTTAAATTTCTTCTTCAAATGTTCCTGCCACTTCCTAATGGAAAGAAATTGCTTCTAGTCACCCAGGCTTACCTGCTTGGTCTAGAATGAATATTCCCTGGAGCCTGAAGCCAGGAGGAAACAACCACACTAAAACATTGTCTAGGGCTCCAGATGTTTCTCATTTTAAACTTTCCACTGACAACTACGGTATTGAATTTTTATTTTAACAGGAATGTGAATGAATACACAGAACTTATTATATCAGAGTAATCCGTTGGTTGATACTATTCAGCTCCTGCTGCTAGCAATGCCATGGTTTAGATTTAATGATGCTTCAGTGGAAATCAGAGAATCAGAAGGTAATTTGAACTCTTGAGCAGTAGGAGGATGATGCTAGGGCTAGCGGGCTATGAATTCCCAGCCAATCCCTGTGAGGAAGCAGTCTACGCCTAAGGACAGGATTGGATGAATGCTCATAACCGTACAGAGAGATCTCTATAATTTTACAACTAAATTACCCTGCCTTCTTCTCACTGTCAAAAGGAAGTAGGTGCTTTGCTTTTACTATTGTTTCTGTAGATTTTTCTTTTCCCATTGCTATGAGTTTTTTAAATGCTGGAAGACTTAATTTAAAACAATCCTTAGGAAAATGTGTAAGATGGTAACCCCATCACATTGTGATGCTGATGAAGATCAACCTGGAAGCCCAGGAACTGTTTCCTGCTTTTGCATTTCTCTTCAAGAAATACCACACAGGTTTGTAAGTGGGAAGGCAACTCCATTCAGATGTTCCAACAGAAAAAGCTACTCCAAACCCTTTGGGGTGGATGAGGCAGGTTAATTAAATATGTAAACAAACAAAAATCGAACCGAGAAGAAAAACTCAAGAGGAAAAGCTAAGGACTGGTAGGAAAAAGCTTTACTCTTTCATGTCATTTTATTACTTTTTTTTTTGAATCTTACAATAGAAATCACAGGTTATTTTGCGAATCTGTTACCTCTGACATCAAGTGTAACTTTCGGAGAACAGTTCTGTGCATTATTTTATTAACGATAATTAACATCAAACACAGCTTCTCATGCTATTTCTACCTCACTTTGGTTTTGGGGTGTTCCTGATAGTTGTGCATACCTGATTTCACAGCTTCACCACCTGTCTATTGCGTGACCATCTTTCTCTCTTTTCTTTTTTCCTTTATAATTTCCAAAAGAAAACCCAAAGCTCTAAGGTAACAAATTACACGAAGATTTGGTTTTAGTCTTGCATTGTTTTCCTTTATGTAACACTGGACTTTGCCTTTATCCAAGGATTTTTTTTTTTAACCAAGATTTAAAACAAGGGGTTGCTTTATATCCTACTAAGAAGTTTAAGTTTCTAAAATCAGAGGTAAATAGAGTGCATAATTTTGTTTTAATCTTTTTGTTTTATCTTTTAGACGTTAGTTCTGGAGTGAGTCTGTCAAAATATTTGAATAAAAATCGAGAGCTTTATTGCTGTGTTTTAAGCATAATTTGGACATTATTTCGTGTTCTTTATAACCACCGAGTATTAAACTGTAAATCATAATCAATGTAACTGAAGCATAAACATCACGTGGCATGTTATGTCATTGTTTTCAGGTACTGGGTTCTTACTTGAGTATCATATATATCGTGTTTTAACACCGACACTGTAACATTTACTAATTATTTTTTTAAACTTCAGTTTTATTGCATTTTCACAACATATCAGACTTCACCAAATATATGCCTTACTATTGTATTATATTACTGCTTTACTGTGTATCTTAATAAAGCACGCAGTTATGTTACAAAAAATCGTTGATTGGACTGTAATACTTCGTTTTTCATTTAGTTATTTAATTTTTAAATAAGAAATGCATTCACATGATTGAAAAATGAAAATCTAGAAAGATGACTCTCAACCACCCTATCTGTCTCCCACATCCTCCCTGCTCTGAGTAAACATTCTTAATTTGTGTATGCTTCCAAAGAAGTATCTTTATATATGTTCCTTTTTTTCCCTTCATGTCACAGATAGCGCACTCTGCATCCACTTATGCACCTTATTTGACTTACTTAAAAATGGACTCAGGAGAGCAGCGCCTGTGGCTCAGTGAGTAGGGTGCTGGCCCCATATACTGAGGGTGGCGGGTTCAGCCCTGGCCAAACTGCAACCAAAAAAATAGCCGGGCGTTTTGGCAGGCACCGGTAGTCCCAGCTACTCGGGAGGCTGAGGCGAGAGAATCGCTTGAGCCCAGGAGTGTGATGCCATGGCACTCTACCAAAGGTGACAAAGTAAGACTTTGTCTCTACCAAAAAAAAAATGGACTCAGGAGATCTTCCCCTATATAAAATGCTTTCTCATTCTTTTCTATAGCTGTATAATATTTCCATATATAAGAAGATAGTTTATTAAATGATTTGTCTAGTAGACTAGTTTATTTTCAGTCTTTTGCTGTGACCAAACATCTTGCACAGTTTTCATTTTACCATTTCACTTCTATACAAATATATCTGTGGATACATTCCCAGACATGAGATTTCTGGATCAAATGGGGTAAGCATTATTTGTAGCTTGGGAGATAAAGTTTGTGCAGCAACAGTGCTTGCTGTGTGGGGGGGAGGTGGGTGTTTTATTAATAAGTATATGAATTAAGGTAATTTACACTTTTTCTTCTTGAAAAAAAAAAAGAATTATAGAAGTGATATGAAATTTTCTTGAGACAGTCAAGTCTCACTATGTCACCCTGGGTAGAGTGCTATGGCATCACAGCTCACAACAACCTCAAACTCTTAGGCTTAAGTGATTTCTCCTGCCTCAGCCTCC